CCTAAAATCTGGAACACCCTACCTGAAAACTCTAGAACTGCAGACACATTCATCACTTTCAAAACTACAGTTAGAAAACATCTTATCTCCCTGATCCACCCCGACAACTAACTACATGATAACCACCTGGTGGTTCACAATTACATTCACTCACCCACTGACTATAAACCCAGAAATGCTAATCTCAATCTTAAAATAATAAATCCTAACTAGTCATAAGTTTGCCTATGATACTCCAATATAGACACTTTGTATTGTGCCAAAACAAAAGCATTCACATTGCTAAACTCACAAATTTTGATGTAGTCACTTAGCCTTAATACCATAATCTGTAAGGATTTAATGTTAAGAATTAATCTAAGTCTGCCCGAAATGCCTAGCCATGCTAGGTGTCCTAGTGGCCCCCTCTGTAATTAGTATTTTATAACATGTAAAGTACACAATACCCAAAACCTGTAAACCCCACATTCAAATTCAAATTCAATTCAAAGTTTATTCTCTATAAAGATTACCATGTTGAATTTACAGAATTTGGTTGTTGTGTGGTTTACATATAATTAAATAATGATTACATTATTATTATTATTATAATCAAGGGGGAAGCGCTAAACCCGTAGGATTATACAGCAATAATGATTACAGAGTGTACCACTAGAACGCCTAGCATGGCTAGGCATTTCGGGCAGACTTAGTTTAATTCTTTATTTTAAAATATTACAAATTATTCAGATTAGTTGGTATTATGGCTAAGTGACTAAATACTAGTTTGTGAGTTTTTGCTTTTGTTTTGGCACAGTACATAGTTTTAGTATTGGAGTATCATAGGATTCATTATTTTAAGATTGAGATTAATATTTCTGTTTATGGTCAAATGGGTGAGTGAGTGTAAGTGTAAATCACCAGGTGGTATTCGTGTAGTTAGTTGATGGGGTTTATCAGGGAGATAAGATGTTTTCTAATGGTAGTTTTGAAGGTGATGAATGTGTCTGCAGTTCTAGAGTTCTCAGGTAGGGTGTTCCAGATTTTAGGGCCTTTGACATACATTGAATTTTTGTAAAGGTTTAGTCGGACATGGGAATGTCGTAGAGATGTTTGTGTCTGGTGTTATGCCTGTGGGTTCTGTCCAACATATCAAGAAAGCGTTTTAGGTCAAGGTTGATATTGGAGTTTAAGGTCCTGTAGATGTAGATTGCACAGTAGTAAGTGTGGATGTACTGAACAGGGAGTAAGTTTAGATCTATGAAGAGTGGGGGGGTGTGTTGCCAGGGATGGGATTTAGTGATTATTCTTACTGCAGCTTTTGTTGGATTATTATTGGCTTTAGGTGTGTTGCTGCAGTTGATCCCCAAGCACAAATAGCATAGGTGAGGTATGGATAAATGAGTGAGTGGTATAGTGTGAGAAGGGCGTTTTGCGGCACGTAGTATCGTATCTTGGAGAGGATCCCAACTGTTTTGGATACTTTTTTGGTTATGTGTTGGATATGGGTGCTGAAATTCAGGTTGTTGTCAAGGTATAGGCCTAGGAATTTTGCCCTCATTATGTCTGTAATTAGAGTGTTGTCAATCTTAATGTTAATTTGTGCATCTCCTGCTCTGCTACCAAACATAATATAGTAGGTTTTGTCAGTGTTAAGCGTAAGTTTATTGGCTGTCATCCAAGTCGATATTTTGATCAGCTCCTCGTTAACAATGGTGTTGAGGGTGGGCAAAGATTAGGGTGAGAGATGACATAAGTCGTGTCGTCAGCAAAGAGAATGGGTTTCAGGTGTTGGGATACGTTTGGAGATCATTGATGTATATGAGGAAGAGCAGGGGACCAAGGACACTTCCCTGCGGAACTCCAGTATCAAGTGGCCGTGTTGTTGATGCTGTGTCTTTAATGGTAACATACTGATACCTATTAGTAATGTAAGTTTTGAAATAAGCAAGCGCATGGCCTCTTATACCGTAATGGTCAAGTTTGTGGAGTAGGATGTCGTGGTCTACTGTGTCAAAGCTTTTCTTAGGTCAATAAAAATTCCTAGTGGATATTCTTTATTTTCCAATGCTGTGTAAAGCAGATCTAGCATTTTTATGATTGCATCATTAGTGCTTTTATTTTTCCAAAAATCCAAATTGGCGGGGGTTTTGAGTATGTTTTGTGCTGTTATAAATGAATATAGTCTCCTGTGCACGAGTTTCTCAAAGATTTTGGATAGCAATGTTAAGTTTGATATTGGCCTATAGTTGTTTAAGTCTGTAGGGTCCCACCTTTATGTATTGGTGTAACCCTTGCCATCTTGAGTAGTTTCGGGAAGGTGCTAGTTTCTAGTGACTTGTTAAAAAGTAACATAATAGGATGCGAAAGGACATGGGCCGCTCGCTTGTACAGTAATGGTGGGACATTATACATATTCCCTGAGTTGTTTTTAAGTGACTATAATCTCGGTGACTTCCGAGGGCTCAGTTGGTGCAAGATAGAAGGAATTTGGGAAATTCCCATCTAGGTAGTCCCCGGCATGGGCATTAGTATGTGGGATTTTATTGGCGAGATTAGATCTATGGTTGAGAAAAAAGTCGTTTATCTTGTTAGCTGTGTCAGTGGTTAGTGCTGTTTCATTAGGTTTAGTTAGGACAATATTCTTGTTTTTTTTTCAGTTTGTTGGGTCCTAGAATCTGAGAGGAGTGTTTCCAGGTCTTTTTTATATCTCCTCTAGTGTCTGTGAATCTACTGGAGTAGTATAGTTGTTTGGCTTTCTTTATTACTTTGGTGAGAACTGATGAATAGTGTTTAAGAATATCTGTGTGTATTAAGCCCTGTCTATATTGCTTTTCATATTGGTGTTTCTTGTCAATGGATTTCAGAAAGGTGCTGGTTAGCCATGGGCAACCAAGCCGTTTGTTTGTGATCTGTTTCGTTTTTATAGGACAATGTTTGTTGTATAGTCTAAGTAATTTGTTAAGAAAAATGTCTGTCCAGTCATCAATAACATTGGCCTTGGAGAATTCTGTGGGCCCCAGTCAACAATCTCTAGGTCAGCTGTGAACTTCCTTATGAGGCCTCGTCATGGAATCTAAATGAGACTTTTTTGTATTCAAGTGGTGGTTTTTTAAATTTTTGTCAGGAGGAAGGTAGGGTATGGTCTGTAGGCTATCTGTGATTATCCCTGATAGATTCTGCAGGAAATGCAACATTCCCCCGATGAAAAGCAGGGTGCCACGAGTACACTGAGGGGACACCACAATGAGTGCCCGGGGGCCTTTAAGATTGTTCAACTGCCTCCCAGCATACATAAGGGGGATTACCAATAGACCCCCCGGCTGTCTTTAAGAAGGCACTGGACAGGCAAACCCGAAATCAGTACCTGACCAACCGAGCTGTGGTTCGTTACGTCAGCTTGCGTGCGGCCAGCAGTAACAACCTGGTTGATCAGACCCTGACCCACCATGAGGCCTGATCTCAGACCGAGCCACGGGGGCGCTGACCCCCGAAACCTTCTCCAGGTAAACATATGCTGTATTCTTTTCAAGACTGATGGACTGATCACATCGACTCAAGGCTGAGGGATTTGATTACCTCAAACTCCTGTTCTTCATCTTCTCCCCTTTTTATGGACTGATGAATCCAATGTATGGAGAAACGTTTAATCTTTAAAGATACCCAAATGTTGCACATGTGTCTAATTTATCGTTATACTAACCAACAGTGTAGTAAAGAAAGCAAATGCCAGACTAAAGTTCCTGTACGACAAGCACAGTGTCTACCAACAGGCTCGCAGGACCCTATGTCTAGCCTCATACAATGATTTATAGATTACTCTTGCTCTTCATTGTACTCTGCCTTAACAAAAAACAAAACAAAACTGAAAGATAAGCTACAAATCACTCAACAAATTGGTGAGATTCATTCTAGACCTGAGTCTAAGAGAGCATTTAGGCCAGAATGATTTACAACAACTGGATATGCTGAATGTTGCAGACAAAGCAAAAGAAATAAAGCTAAATTACGTTTATAAAATTGCTTACAACCAGTGTCCCCAATATATTACTGGCAATTTTGTTAAGGCCGGAAATCAATGCAATTATAGAACTAGGGGAAGGGAGAGCAACTTTGCAGTACCTAGAGTCAGTGGTCAGGCTTCAGAGACTTTTTTCTGCACTGCAATAAAAGAATGGAATAGACTGTCTGCACATGTCAAAGCCTGTCATAGCACGAACCAGTTCAAGAAGAGAACCAAACTGCACCTCATGATTAAGGCTACAGAATGGAAGGAGAGCGATTTCTTGAACGAAATTAACACTGTGGCCCATGGCCTGGTGGCAAAGTTCTCGCTTCATACGGTGAGGGGCCGAGTTCGATTCCCGGCAAAGGTTGTCCATGTGACCTAATTTGACCGAGATTCTCTGCATAACAAGCGGCTTTCTATATAGTAATGTCATTGATGTCATCTGAGACTGTATACCTTGTACATATACTTGTAGAAATAAAAATATTATTAATGTTACCTCTCCCCGAGTATATCTTCTTTCACTATAACTGCTTTTACATAGTTAAGATACTTACCCGTTTTTAACTTTTAAATATAAATAATAATTATCACAAGGACCCCATTGGAAATAAGTCGCTTTGTCTGGGCTATCTTAAGTTCTCTACACATATGCTACTATGTATGATAATCTATGTAACTGTATGTGGCCGGTGGCCTGGTGGCTAAAGCTCCCGCTTCACACACGGAGGGCCCGGGTTCGATTCCGGCGGTGGAAACATTCGACACGTTTCCTTCACTGTTGTCCTGTTCACCTAGCAGCAAATAGGTACCTGGGTGTTAGTCGACTGGTGTGGGTCGCATCCTGGGGGACAAGATTAAGGACCCCAATGGAAATAAGTTAGACAGTCCTCGATGACGCACTGACTTTCTTGGGTTATCCTGGGTGGCTAACCCTCCGGGGTTAAAAATCCGAACGAAATCTTACCTTAATAAATTTATTTACATAGTAAGTGTCAATATGGCAGGAGCTGTCAGTGGCCTTTATAAACCTAACAAGAACAACTGGGAGCATCTTGTTTCCATTTATTTTTTTTTTGGAGGAAGTTTGCTTCTTCTCCATTACCTGCCCAGGTTTGGGGTAAAAATCTTCACCAGAGGTCTGGGAGCAGGGCTAAATACGCCATACACCGTCACAGACCTTCAAAAACAAGAGGAACATAATGTGGTGGTACATGGTGATGGTGATGGTGATGGTGATGGTGATGGTGGGGTGTAGAGCACAACTCGTCGTCAACGTTAACACTCAGGTCATACCTCTTAATGTTATACAGAAATTTATAAATTGTATAATTGCTACTTGTTCTGAATGCCAGTAATCTTACGAATTTCTTAATTCATCGATTAGTCAGGAAAAAGTAAGTAAATTTTTATGTTATTTTGGTGAAGAGTTCTCCCATATATTAGTAAAATTATTGGCAGGAACTAACTAAATAATGTAACCCAACGTGAAGTAATCTCAACTTATATTTTGGTGTAATTTATGGTTATATTTTAACCTGTCATCATACTTGCCGCCTGGATAACTTGCTCACTTCAATGATTTGTTTTATTATTTTTACCATAAAATTTTAGCCTTTGTACAGGTATTTTTAAATATGACATTAATTGTTTATATTTAATATTGCATTATGCTTTTACTCTTTAATATCGTATTATGTTCCTTTGCCAAGACTGTTTCTTATTTTATCAGTCTTATTAATTTTATCTTTTAAAAATTTCCACTGGTTTCACATATTGTATACTTGATCAATATTTTGTTATTTTAAAAATACATCAATTGTCTCATACCTAGGTATGGTTGCCCCCAAAATATCATTTATTCAGTAGCTCTCTTGCCAGACATATGCAGACATTACAGTGTCAATGAGCCTTTAAACTGCAACATCCTCACCCCCTTTCAGAATGCAGACATTACTTCCCATAGTGCAGTTTTATTATTGCAAATATAATTTTAAAATTATTTTATTACCTAAAGTTGAATTTTTGCAGATTTTTCAGGCAAGGCTAATATTACCATAAGTACCTTTATATTTCATCTACCATTTCCTATTTTTTTTTTTTTAACTAATGCTTTTAATACCATTATATGCTAAGATTTTATTCAGATTATTCTAGTAATCCAGGATAGTATAAGAAAGGAAATATATCACTATGTTCTACTTTTTTTGAGATATTCTATGTTGTATTTACACACATGGTGTTGTAGAAGACAGTTGTAAAAGTCTTAGTGTGTAATGAATCAGAACAAAAGATTTAACCATCTATGTCTGGCTTATTTCTTTTGTGATCTTTTGAGACCCTTCCAGGATGAGACCTACAACAGTCACTAATACCCAGGTACCTACTTACTGCTGGATGAACTGACAAAAGGTGTAAGGAAACTTGCCAAATATTTCCACATGTGCTGGGATGGACATTAAGTTCATTAGATACGAGTTCTTTCCAGTACCATTTAGGTTACCTGAAATGCTGTGGATAACCAGAGGCATACTGTGGGTACTATTAAATGTTATCCAGTCCTGTAAAACTATGTGCTTCTTCTTACCTGGAGTATAGCTGGAGGGTGTTTCGAGGGTCAGTGGCCCTGTGGCCAGGTCCATAACCAGGCCTCAGGGTGGATCAGGGCCTGATCAACAGGCTGATACTGGTGGCTGCATGCAAATCGACGTATGAACCACAGCTTGGCTGGCTAGGTACTAACTTGAGGTGCCTGTCCAGCTCCCTCTGGAAGGCAGCCAGGGGTCTATTGGTAATCCCCTTTATGTATGCTGGGAAGCAGTTGAACAAGTTTGGGCCTTCTGACGCTTATTGTGTTCTCGCTTAGCATACTCATGGTGCTCCTGCTTTTCATTGGGGGGTTGTTGCACCACCTGCCAAGTCTTTTACTTTCATAGGAAGTGATTTCCGTTTGCAGATTTGGGACTAGTCCCTCTAGGATTTTCTATGTGTATATTATCATGCATCTTTCTTGCCTACATTCCAAGAAGTACAGGTCAAGGGACTTCATCCGTTTCCAGTAATTTAGGTGTTTTATTGTACAGTGGACCCTTGACAAATGCTATTAATCCGTTCCTGAGAGCTCATCGTTAGTCAAAATTATCGTCAGTCAAGTTAATTTTCCCCATAAGAAATAATGGAAATCAAATTAATCCGTGCAGGACACCCCAAAATATGAAAAAAGAATTTTTTTTACCACATGAAATATTAATTTTAATACACACAAACTGAAGAAGACATGCACAGTTACATGACACTTACCTTTATTGAAGATCTGGTGATGATTGATGGGATGGGAGGAGGGGAGAGTGTTGATGGTCTTAGTGTTTAGAAGGGGAATCCCCTTCCATTAGGACTTGAGGTGGCAAGTCCTTTTCTGGGGTTACTTCCCTTCTTCTTTTAATGCCACTAGGACCAGCTTGAGAGTCACTGGACCTCTGTCGCACAACATATCTGTCCATAGAGGCCTGTACCTCCCGTTCCTTTATGACATTTCTTAAGTGTTTCACAACATTGCAGGTGCAATCACTACAAACGCTGTGATAATATGAAATGTTCCGATTGTATGTTTGGATGGGACCGTGGTGGCTGGCTGGCTTGTAAACACTGGTACCCACAGGACAAGTGAGGCACACTCAGGCCAAAGTGGCCACGTCTCGAAATGAATAGCGTTGGTCGGGTTTTTTAGTGCTAGTCGAGGCAAATTTTTGCGTTAAAATGTATCGCTAGTCGGATTTAACGTTAGACAATGCCAACGTTGGTCGAGGGTCCACTGTACTTATATGTGCAGTAAAAGTTCTCTGTATATTCTCTAGGTCTGCAATTTTGTGTCACAACAGCTGCCTCCCGAACTGAGCTCGGATTGGCGTGTCTCCGTGTCCCTTCCGTGGAATGCGCTAGGCTGCGTGGGCATGTGTAGTTCTCGAGGGGGGCGGGGGGGGGGTGATGGGCAACGGCAACGGTGACAAAAAATGAATGAATGCAATTTCACCTACCTTGAAAAGGGTCATTAGTGTACAGCAGTACAGTACTCCAGCCTAGAGAGAAAAAGCGATTTGAAGAGAATCATCACTGGCTTGGCATCCCTAGCTTTGAAGAATCTCATCCATCCTGTCATTTTCCTACCAAATGTGGTAGATACATTGTTGTGATTGTTGAAAGTGAGATTCTATGACTATCACTCCCAGGTCCTTCACCTTAGTTTTTCACTGTTGTGTGTTGGAATTTGTTTTATACTCTGATCCAGATCTTATTTCTTCAAGTTTTCCATAGTGGAGTAATTGAAATTTATCTTCATTGAACTTCATATTTAAAAACTTGGTTAATCTCTGTCTATGTCTTATATGAGGATGAGGAAAAGGATGGGAGTGAGTACTGTACTTTGTGAAATGGAGCTTTTCACTGTAGCTGCCTCTGATTTTACTCTGCTTACTATTACTCTTTGTGTTCTATTTGCTATGAAGTTATGGATCCATGTACCTACTTTTCCTGTTATTCCTTTATTGTACATTTTGTGTGCTGTTACACCATGATCACACTTGTAATTTGCTCTTCATTAACTTCATGATTGTTAATCAGAGATTCCTTGTTAGCCAGATCGTAGTCAAGTAGTTTATTTTCTCTATTTGATTCTAACGCACTGTGCCCAAAGTACAGTTTATCATTAGGTCATTTGAGAGACATTGGAGTTGCTCAATAGTTTGTAGTACTTGACCATTCCCCAGGATGCAACCCACAATGATCAACTAACTCCCGGGTACCTTTTTACTGAAGGTTAACTGGGACAGTGGGTGTGAGGAGACTCGCCCATATGTCTCGACCTGTTTTTAAAAAGCAGTTGTGAATTATTTTTAGAAAGTTACTGGACTCTAAATTTCTTGTCAAACTGGTTCAATAAATTTGTCTGAAGTTAAAATCTCCTTTTAAAACTTAATTTTTTATTTCTAGATGCATTAGCAATTTCATCCTATACGTTTACTGTAATCACTGATTAGCTTCTCGTGCTCTTCAAGAAACTGCAGCCAAACTGATTACATGTCTGTCTCTTCCACATTTACAGTGGTACCTTGACTTACGAGTGCCCCAACTTACGAGTTTTCCGAGTTATGAGACGTCGCTCGGTCGATTTTTTGCTTTGAGTTGCGAACCAAAATCCAAGTTACAGGCGAGGTTCAGATACGTCGCCATTAGTTGGCGCAGTAAATGCCACAACATTTGCACAGATGGAAGCATCTCTCTTGTGTTGTGCTTGCATTTTGTGCTTTTTGTGCAGTTATTTTGCTAAATTTCTTTTTTCTAACCATGGGTTCTAAGAAAGTAAGTGCAAAGGACAGTGCTGAGAAAAAGAAGAGAATGATATCCATTGAATTTAAGCGATAGAGTTTATGACAAATGAAAGCAACTGAAAAAGCACGAAGCAAAACGAACTCCTCCAATCTCCTCTGCCTATCTTTTCTACCCTCCACCTCTGCCAGCATCTTCTATTAGCCCAAGTCGTCTGATCTCCAAGGTAAATACGTTTTATAAAGCCAGTTTATTTCTTTACATTCTCTTTTAGTATGTTTTATGTTTTTATACAATATTTCTTATTTATAAATACATTTTTCTTATTTTAAAACCCATAACAAAAAAAATTGGGGTGGTTTCTTGGGGGGTGGAATAGATTAATGGCATTTCAATTAATTTCAATGAGGAAAATAGATTTGATATACGAGCACATTGAGTTATGAGCTCGGTCACGGAATGAATTAAACTCCTAAGTCAAGGAACCACTGTATATCGTTTCTGATGCAATAGTTTAAATTTTCCCTGACATAGCAACTGATGGTAACTGCATAGAATAATTTATTTTTTTATTTTTTATTAATTCATCGGCCATTTCCCACCAAGGCAGGGTGGCCCCCAAAAAAAAAAATCATCATTCATTCCATCACTATCTTGCCAGAGTTATAAAACTGTAACATTAACACCCCTCCTTCAGAGTGCAGGTACTGTACTTCCTATCTCCAGGACTCGAGTCTGGCCTGCTGGTTTCCCTGAATCCCGTTCATAAATGTTACCTTGCTCACACTCCAACAGCACGTCAAGTCCTAAAAACCATTTGTCTCCATTCGTTCCTATCTAACATGCTCATGCATGCTTGCTGGAAGTCCAAGCCCCTCACACAGAAAACCTCCTTTACCCCCTTGCTCCAACCTTTCCTAGGCTGACCCATACCCCGCCTTCCCCCCCTACAGATTTATACACTCTCAAAGTCATTCTATTTTGTTCCATCCTCTCTTCATGTCCGAACCACCTCGTCCCACCTGCTCAGCCATCTGGTTAATAGTTTTGGTAATCCTGCACCTCCTATTCTGCAAACTATGGATTCTCTGCATTATATTCACACCACACATTGCCCTCAGACATGACATCTCCACTGGCTCCAGCCTTATCCTTGCTGCAACTTTCATTACCCATGCTCCACACCCATATAAGAGCATTGGTATAACTGTACTCTCATATATTTCCCTCTTTGCTTCCATGGATAAAGTACTTTGTCTCCACAGACTCCTCAGTGCACCACTCACCTTTTTTTACCTTGTCAATTCTGTGGTTCACCTCATCTTTTGTAGACCCATCTGCTGACACATCCACTCTCAAATATCTGAAAACATTCACCTCCGTATGCTCTCCCTCCAATCACCTTATTTATTCTTGGCAAAATGAATAATCAATTCTAACATCTGGTACACTATGTACACCTAGCAATGAATCGGCTACTTGGTTGTGGATTGCATCCTGGGGATGAAGACCAAAGGACCCAACAGGAAATGGTAAATTAGTGATTGGGTATCATTGGTTAATAACCTTTGGTGTTAATAATATAAATACTGTAATGTGTTCTTTTTTCCTCTACCCTAATCTTCATTGTTACCATGCTAATATAGTATGATGCAGGCATTACTAAAGCTTTTACTTTTTTAACCCTTTGACTATTTTGGCCATATATATACGTCTTACAAGCCAGTTTTTCGGATGTATTAATATGTATAAATTCTAGCGGTTTCAAATCAAGTGGGAGAAAGCTGGTAGGCCCACATATGAGAGAATGAGCTTGTGTGGTCAGTGTGCACCACATAAAAAAATCCTGCAGCACGCAGTGCATAATGAGAAAAGAAAAACTGACTGTTTTTTGGGATTAAAACGCTGACTTTCAGGTGTACTTTCGTATAGTATTTATCGTTGTATTCTCGTTTTCATGGTCTTACGTGATAAAATGGAAAACACATTACAAAAATAAGAGATGATTTTGATTAGTTTCACGATGAAAACGACCTTGAAATTGAGCTCAAAGTAGTGGAAATGTTCGATTTTTTACCAATGTTCAGTAGTAAGCAAATCACACCACACGTCCAATACACGTCAACTGGTGAGTCTAATATTCTTTCACTAGTGCATTGATATTATTTATACCATTTTTACAATAATGCAATAGTCTGCATAAGAGTAAATTTTGTATTTTTTGTATGAATAAAAAATCAAAATAGAAAGCAATAGTAATATAAGAGGGGCCTAGAGATGTGACTAATGAACAGAGGATGTTATTTTAGTGCCAAGAATGTCTACATTGTTTATTCTGGACCCTATTTTGAAATTGGCATCTTTTTTAATTTGTGTGAAATTGGCCAAATTGCCAATTTCTGACCACTTTATTGGGTAGTTCAAATCGGTAAATGGGCGGTTTCTTGTACTCAACTGATAGAAAAAATGGAGTTCTAAAGAAATAGCTATGAGTTTGGTCAACTGGATCAACGGAATTGGCCAAAAACACCGCTCAAAGTTGGTGAAATCTCCGATGCGTATATATCGCTGAGACCGCTAACTTCTGCGGGAGCATAATTCTGAGTTTTTGACCAAATTTCATACTTTTGGTGTCATTACCATCGGGAAAAGATTCTCTATCATTTCATAAGAAAAAATAATTTTTTTTTTTCCAAAAATTTTGCGACATAGAATGACAGTTTCAGAAAGGGGCTTGCGACAGTCAAAGGGTTAATTATTGTAGTTGTTAGTAAATTAATATTTTTTTATTACATCATACAGGTATTGTTTTCTCCTTATTTTTACACATTAAAAAGAATTTTATGCACAAAATCATTGTATTAAAAAGCTTTTTTATTTCATTTACAGAATGGTGAGGTGTTCAAGGAAACAATTACTGCAAACATATCTGATGATTCAGTCATTTTAGAGTTTCCTCAAAATGATGGTACATATATCACACAGCTTATTGACTTCAAACAAGTAAGTGTACTAATATACTAGTACATACCATATATCATCTTAATTAAATGAAGCCTGATTACAGCCCATCTCCCAAAAGCTTTATGGTTTTTATGGGCTGAGTGCTTCCCCAAAAATATAATAATAATAATAAAGATTTTCATCTGTTTATGTTTAGTAAACTGTTTGGAAAAAGGGGCTGCTAGCCTGTTCCTCTCTGCATTTTAGTTAATTTTTACAACACGCATGGCTTATGGAGAAAAATTCTTATTCCACTTCCTCATGCATATGAAAGGAAAGGAAAATAATAAGAAAAAGAACTATTAAGAAAAATCAAGGAAAACTCAGATGAGTGTGTATACATAAATGTGTATATACATGTGTAGTGTGACCTAATTGTAAGTAAAAGTAGAAAGATATTCCTGTTATTTTGTGTGTTTATGAAAGAGAAAAGAAGACATCAGCACTCCTGCCATCATGTAAAACAAATATAGGTTTCTGTCTTACACTCATTTGGCAGGACAGTAGTATAGTGGTACCCTGAGTTTCATACAGTTCTCAACTCAAACAATTATGTAAGTGTATTATTGTAAGTGCTTTTGTAGGTGTATTTTTCGGGGTCTGAAATGGACTAATCTAATTTACATTGTTCCTTATGGGAACAAATTAGTTCGGTAATGGCACTCGAACAGCCTTCTGGAACAAATTATGGCCGAAACTTGGGGTGCCACTATACTTCCCTGGGTGGTTGCTGTCTACCAACCTACTACTATCAAATATGCAGAGGATTCAGAGTGTGGAAATTAGGAGTTGTGGAGTTATAAAAAGTACTATTCAAAGGCCTGAAGAGGAGTTATTGAAGTGGTTTGGTCATTTAGAGAGGGTGGAGCAAAATTGAATGACTTGGAGGGTGTATAAATCTGTAGTGGAGGGGAGGAGGGGAAGGGGTCGTCCTGCAGAAGGATGGAGGGAGAGAGTAAAAAGGTTTCGTGTGCAAGGGGCCTGGACTTGCAGCAACCATGTGTGAGTGTTTTAGATAGGAGTGAATGGAGACAAATGGTTTTTGGGACCTGATGAGCTGTTGGAGTGTGAGCAGTGTTATATTTTGTGAAGGGATTCAGGGAAACCGGTTAGCCCGACTGGAATCCTGGAGGTGGGAAGTACAATGCTTGCAATTTAAAGGAGGAGTTTAAGATATCGACTGTTTGGAGTGACATCTAAACTGTCATATCTGGGCACCTCAGCAAAGACAGAGATTGTGTGTGAATGATGGTGAAAGTGTTTCTTTCTTTTTTGGGTCACCCTGCCTCGGTGGGAAATGGCCGGCGTATTAAAAAAATAAAATAATAATAATTATTGACATCAGATAGTTACCAGTAAGTGTACTTGACTTGTCAACATTTACAATAGAACAAAAATCACAATACTATGGTGAACAAAACACAACTAGCCCATGTATTTGAAAGGAATGCTGGACAACTTTTCAGTTCTTGCTGGACTGTTATCAAGTCATGAGTGAATATTGCATTACTAAAAAACGTAAAATGTACTATGAATTACAATTTAATTTTTGGTATTAATTTTCCCTTCCCAGTTTTGATCATTTATATACTATATGACCTCCTGTATTTCTTTGCTGGCCAACTAATCAAGTGCACTAATTGCTGTTATTGTTTTTTAGGTAATGAAGACAGTGTTTTTCATTTTAATCCCTACTCCTGTCTGTTATTATAAATATTTTGATTTCAGATGTTGCAGTGCAGTTGGTATAATCTAACATTCTGATATATTGAAAAATAATTCTCTAGTACACAGTATCATGTGCAAAACAATTTACAGATAACTCACACTTTGCAGAGAAAACTTTGGATGTTTTCATTCATTCTGGTTCTCAGTGTTGTCTAGATTCCTCTCCATAATGTGGGTTATTTGTAGACAGATATAGTAATCAAAGGTTTGTCTTTCTCTCACTGCAGGAGTTGCAGATCTTTAAAGTGATTGTCTTAGGTGAAGAGGAATTGGGTCAGAGTCAGTATCAGGTTATGTGCTTCATTATGAGATTTTTCAAGAGCAACTTCATCTCTTCTGATGCCATGTCAAAGTTACGACAGGTAAGACCCTACATTCTTGCATATACATGTATGTTAAAGCTAATTACATTCTGGTACTGCTGTGTAAATAACAAACAACTTTATTAAATAATCATCAGATAAATGCTGCACTATGTATGCATTACATTTTTCATTATATTGTGTGTGTGTGCATGCATGTACGTGTGCAATATGCTTATCTGTTACCGAAGGGGTCTAATCTCGACTCCTGGCCTTGCCTCGTCACTTGTTGCTACTAGATTCACACACTCCTGGCTTTGAGAGCCTTATCATTCCTACCTCTACCACTTCACTTTCCAGGTTGTTCCACTTCTTGACAAAGACTGAATAAATGCTTCCTAACATCCCTGTGACTCACTGGAGTTTTCAACTTACAGCTGTGCCCTTATGTTCCTGTTTCCTATCTCTCAAACAGTCTGTCCTTATTCACCCTGTCAGTTCATCTCATTACAGTGGACCCTCGGTTATTGGCCATAATCCATTCCAGAAGGTTGGCCGATAACTGAAATGGCCGAAAACCGAATTAATATTTCCTATAAGAATTAATGGAAATACAATTAATCCGTTCCAGACAAAAATATTCACAAAAAAAAAAATTTTTTAACAATTATGTAAGTTTTACATACCTTTACTGAAGGCTAATGCTGGCTTCTGGAAGATAGGGAAGAGGAAAGAGGGAGGAGTTAATGTTTGGAAGGGGAATCCTCCTCCATGAAGCCTTTAGGTAGCAAAGTCTTCTCTGGGGTTACTTCCCTTCTTTGTCTTTTAATGCTACTAAGACCAGCTTGAGAGTCACTGGACCCCTACCTCACAACAAATCTGTCCATGGAGGTCTGTTTCTGGCATCTCTCTAAGGTTTCCCTGAAGTGGGACAGGGTTTTGTCACTGAACATGTTGCAGATATGGCTTGTTTCAGCTTGGTCAGGGTGGTGTTTCTCTACAAAAGCTTGCACCCTAGTCCACACTGCACACACCTCTTTAATCTGTCATTTACTACTACAGTACATTCATTACTAACCTTAAAATATTTGTAGTCTTAATGTAGGGCAAGAGGTGAGTAGTATTGATTTGTAGGAAGTCTGTGTAGGTAGCAGCAGATGTAGGTACAGTACACGTATGTAGCCCTCACCCCTGGGCTACACTACACAGCTATATTACAATACACAACCATATTATTACACTACACAGCCATATTATCATATTCACTGAGTTTAATCATTTCTAACAACTACCTTTAGATGCCATCAAAAACAAAGGGAGAAGTAATGAATAATTCATGACAAGAATTGTAAACAAATGCATATGAAGGGCGGTTACTGCGCCAGTCGCCAGATTCACAGTTTTCTCTGACACTGCATCAGAGAAAACATAATGTTTACTCTCCATCCCACTCTCCACTCGATAACATATAAACATTGCATGTTTATATGCTATGTTTATATGCTACACGATATGTAACGTGTTTCTTATATAATTTTGAAGAAAATATCATAGATGGATTAATGAAAATGTCTATATTAACGTAAAATAAGACATTTAATGTACCAGTGATTATTATTAAATATACATCGCATATAAACATTGCATGTTTTCATATACTATGTAACGTGTTCCTTTGGGCCCATGGTTGCTTATTTTGCAGTTGTACTCAATCAATAACCACAAAAAACAATGGATTATAGCAAAAATGTTGGGATGAATGAGCAGAAGCTTTCTCACTCGCCCAGAGACAAAGCTAAACTGACTCGCAAATGGCCCCAGCCGGCGGATGGATGCCTCCCAAATGGCCGATAACCGAATTAATGATTGATAACTGGGCGCCGATAACAGAGTTTGCCGATAACTGAACTGGCTGATAACTGGGGGTCCATTGTATTTTGCACATTATCATATTACCCCTTTCCCTTCTGTTCTCCAGTTTTTTTTTTTTTAACAAGTTGGCTGTCTCCCACCGAGGCAGGGTGACCCAAAAACAAAGAAAATCCCCAAAAAGAAAATACATACTTTCATCATTCAACACTTTCACCTCACTCACACATAATCACTGTTTTTGCAGAGGTGCTCAGAATGTAACAGTTTAGAAGCATATACGTATAAAAATACACAATATATCCCTCCAAACTGCCAATATCCCAAATCCCTCCTTTAGAGTGCAGGCATTGTACTTCCCATTTCCAGGACTCGAGTCCGGCTATATAAAATAACCGGTTTTCCTGAATCCCTTCACTAAATATTACCCTGCTCACACTCCAACAGCTCGTCAGGTCCCAAATACCATTCGACTCCATTCACTTCTATCTAACACGCTCACACATGCTTGCTGAAAGTCCAAGCCCCTTGCCCACAAAACCTCCTTTACCCCCCTCCTCCAGCCTTTTCGAGGACGAACCCTACCCCACCTTCCTTCCCCTACAGATTTATACGCTCTCCATGTCATTCTACTCTGATCCATTCACTCTAAATGACCAAACCACCTCAACAATCCCTCTTCAGCCCTCTGACCCCTCAAGGAAGGTTCCTTGATGTTGGTGAGGGGCTCTTGATTTAGGGAATTGGATCTGTGCTCCAGTTCCCCGAATTAAGCCTGAATGCCTTCCACATCCCCCCCCCAGGCGCTGTATAATCCTCCGGGTTTAGTGCTTCCCCCTTGATTATAATAATAATAATTCAGCCCTCTGACTAATACTCTTATTAACTCCACACCTTCTCCTAATTTCCACACTCCGAATTTTCTGCATAATATTTACACCACACGTTGCCCTTAGACAGGACATCTCCACTGCCTCCAACCGCCTCCTCGCTGCAGCATTTACAACCCAAGCTTCACACCCATATAAGAGTGTTGGTACAGTGGTCCCTTGTTTTTCGTAATTAATCCGTTCCTGGAGCCGTTACTATAAAAGAAATTTACGATTTACGAATCAATTTTCCCCATAAGAAATAATGTAAATACAATTAATCCGTTCCTGACACCCAGAAGTATTAAAACAAAAAATTTTTTAACATGAAATATACATGTAGTACATAAACAATACAATGGGAAATGATGAATGAAACATTAACAGCATAACACTTTCCTTTATTGGAGATTCTTCTTAGTGTATGGGAGACTGGAGGAGGAGAGAGTGTGGATTGTTTATAGTTTGGAAGGGGAATCCCCTTCCATCAACACCTCAGGTACCATTTGCTTTTCTGGGGTTGCTTCTCTTCTCCGTTTCTTAATGCAAGTAGGACCACCTTGAGAGTCACTGGAGTCCTGTCTCACAAAATAACTGTGGAGAGAGCTCTGTTTCTGGCGTCTCTTTAACACTTCCCTAAAATGGCCCAAGACTTTGTCACTGTACATGTTGCCAACCTGGCTTGCAACAACCTTGTTAGGGTGATGTTTTCTTCCATAAAGCTTTCCATCTTACCCCACATAGTAAAAATCCTTTAATTTCTGAAGAAGGCACCTTCTTCATCTCTCTTCCTCCTCCTCTGCAGCAAGATTCTGAGCTGCGATGTGTTGCTCTTCCTGCTGAAGCTCTTGCAGCTCCTCAGTGGTGAGCTCTTCATTGTGGTCTTCCACCAATTCTTCCACATCCTTCAAACTCGCATCCAACCCCCATGGAACTCCCCAGTGCCACAATTGAATTTTACAACAGACATAGGCTCATTAGGGTCAGTCCCAAATCCTTCAAAATCCCTCTTGTCAACACAATCTAGCCACAATTTTCTCCAGGCAGAGTTCAAAGTCCTGGTAGTCACTCCCTCCCAAGCCATACCTATAAGGGTTATGCAGTGGAGGATGCTGAAGTGTTCTCTCCAAAATTCCCTTAGGGTCAAGTGAGTGTCTGTGGTCACAGTCAAGCACCTGTGAAACATTGCTTTTGTGTAGAGTTTTTTAAAGTTTGCAATAACCTACTGGTCCATGGGTTGGAGGAGAGGAGTGGTATTCGGGGGCAAGAACTTTTCTGTGATGAACCCAAACTCCTCGAAAATTAGGTCATCCAAGTTTGGAGGATGAGCAGGTGCATTGTCCATTACTAGCAGGCACTTGAGATCCAATTTCTTTTCCAGGAGATACTCCTTCACACTAGGGCCAAACACTTCATTGAACCACTCGACAAAAATTTCCCTCGTGACCCATGCCTTACTATTAGACTTCCAAAACACACACAGTTTACTCCTCATAACATTGTTTTTCCTGAACACTCTGGGATTTTCAGAATGGTACACTAGTAATGGCTTCACTTTGAAATCCCCACTAGCATTAGCACAGAACATTAGCGTCAGCCTGTCTTTCATAGGCTTGTGTCCTGGCATTGCCTTTTCCTCTTGTGTAATGAAGGTCCTCTTTGGCATTTTCTTCCAAAAGAGGCCTGTTTCGTCACAATTGAACACTTGTTCAGGTTTCAGTCCTTCAGCCTCTATGTACTCCTGGAACTCATGCACATATTTTTCAGCCGCCTTGTGGTCCGAACTGGCAGCCTCACCATGCCTTACCACGCTGTGTATGCCAGTACGGTTCTTAAATCTCTCAAACCAGCCTTTGCTGGCCTTAAATTCACTCACTTCACCACTATTTGCAGGCAGTTTCTTTACCAAATCTTCATGCAACTGCCTAGAATTTTCACAAATAATCGAAGTCATAAGAGTATCTCCTGCTAATTGTTTCTCATTTATCCACACCAATAATAACTTCTCAACCTCTTCCATACTGGTGATCTCATTTTTGTCAGCATAGTTACTCCCTTTGCAACAACAGCATCCTTTATTTCCTTTTTCTTGGCCACTATGGAACATAAGGTTGTGTAGGGTTTCTTATACATCCTGGACATTTCGGCCACACTTGTACCACTTTCATGTTGTTCAATGATGGTTTTCTTAAATTCAGTTGTATTTCTCACCTTCTTTACCACAGGCTTGGCACTAGGAGCTTTCTTTGGAGCCATGGTAGCTTATTTAGTACTTGCAAGCACTAAAATAAATGGAATACTGTATTATGAAATATTTCGCTG